CGTGGCGGGTGGACAACCCCCCTCCTCCTCCCGGCCTGCCGATGGGTGAGCGGGTCCCCGGCCGTGTATGTCCCCCAGCAGCAGCGCCGTGCGGCGGCCTCGCGGTGCCTGGCAGCAGCCAGCGCTTGGGGCGGCCACAGGAGCGCGTGTCCCCGTGGGGAGCCCAGGCGCTGGGCGAGAGTGCTGCGCTCCAGAGCCTCCGTGCTTCCTCAGAGCCCCCGCTCATCGCAGCTTTCCCTGGGATAGTCCCAAGGTTTTTCCTGCAGAAGTCCTCCCCACGCCTGTGGGGCAGCAGGGGCTTTCCCTGGGCTCGGGTTTTGTTTCCCCCTGTCCAGGTTTTGGTTTGCCCTTCCTTCCCCCCTATCCTCGACCCCGCGCTGGGCATGTGGCCGGGGGTGAAAGCAGCCCCGGGTTGGGGCTGGAGCCTGTGTGCTGCCTTCACCGCTTCCCCATGCTGCCTCACGCCCACCTTCCAGCAGCGACCGAAAGAACAACCAAAACCAGCCACAGGGGAATTCCTCTGTTCTTGCTTCTTTAAAAAAGAGCCCCTGAATCTGCTGGATTTGGACTGAAATTGCAACATTGCAGCTTCTGTTTTTTTAAAAGAGCTTGTCCATCTGCTCTCCGCAGCTGCGTTTCTCTCGCTGGGCCTCCCTGGGCATGGGCAGCCCCAGAAGGTGCCCGGGGCCGGCTGCCATCCCCGTGCCAGTGCGCCGGCACAGCCTCCCCTCACCTGAGATGGAGGAAGAGTGCTGCCTTATCCCGGGTTTCCACAGCACGCATCCCGGGGAGAAAAGCTGCCTTCCCCCGGCATCCCCACGGCTCAGAGACACCCCAGCCCTGGGGACCGGCTGACTGCGTGCCCAGGAGACCTTGGGCCAGGCTGGTGGTGAGCAGGGCAGCTAAAAAGGATGGCAATGAGCCACAGAATTGGGTGGCTGGTTTTATGCAAGAGCGGAAAATGCCATAAGGAAATGAGACTGCTTCAGACTTCCCTCCTCCACCAAATATCTGGACCAATGTGGAAATTTGTCCTCCGCGCTGGTAGTGCAAGAAAACACCTCAGAAAGTCCCTGTGGGCTTTCTCGTGCCGGCCGCCTTCAACCTCGGCAGAGCAATCGGCTGAGGAAGTGCCGGGAGCACAGGAGCCCAGGAGCAGCCCTGGCAAAGCTGCTGCGGCCCCCGCCTGGCAGGTTGGGGCTAGCGAGGCACGGGGGCTTGGGGCTGCTTCTTTGCAGACCGGTTTCTCGGAAGGAAAAGGAAGAGAAAATCGGGAGACCCCACAGGCGGCCGCAAGCCCCTGCCTCCTCCTGCCCTGCGCCCGCCGCGCTGCTCCTCGCAGCATTTGTGCGATGCTGGGGGCTCTGCGGCCCCGTTGTGGGAAATGCGTCGGAAACATTTGCACGGGCCGCTGCTGGGGGAGGAAAGGTGTTTGCAGGGGTGTAGCCCCTCGCTGGGGCAGCCGAGGTGCGGTGCTCCCCGCCGCGAGGAGGGGCGGGAGCAGGAGAGCCGCTGGCAGGAGGAATCAGAGCCGAATGTCCTCCGTGCATTAGGCTGTGACTTAATTAAGGAAAATGTGAGCATCTGGGATTTCCAGAGAGTCGGAGGGACCGTCCGCGCTCTCGGCTGTCAAAGCCGGAGCGTGTGATCTGTGGCTTTCTGGGTTTCGTTGAAAGGAGAGCCCTGGCTGCTCACGGGGAGCGGGGGAAACGCTGTCCCTCTCAGCCCCGGGTGCTGCCCCTGGACACTGCCAGCTGGAGCCTTTCGCGGCCAGCCGGAACCGGCAGCACCCGGCACTGCGCGGGATCCGGCCACAGAGCTTGACGTCAGGAGCATTTAACAGAAAAAAAAAAAAAAAAAAGAGTCATGCTTAGTTTTGATGACTGTTTCTCAGAGGAAGTTGAAAAAAAGAAAGCAAAAAGCCCCAACCCCCAAAATACCCAGAAGCAGAAGAGATGGTGGAAATGGACGGGCAGGAGGATGCCCGCGGCTGGCCTTGGCCAGGCCCTCGGCGTGACGCGGGGAGCGCATCTTAAGTGCGAGTCGTGCAACGTCAGACGTAACAGAAGGAAATGTGGCAATGCATCAGCATCCCTTCTCCTGACTGCAGTGATTCATGTTTTCACCTGAAAAAAAAGTACTCCCCGAGCTGGATTTCCACCAACAGTTTTAATGAGACTATCCCCCTGTGAAGGTTCTTGGAAACTAAGTCACTTTTGGAGAAACTCTCTGGTGACCTGGCAGTAGTAAAGTATAGCTCACGGTAAGTCGTTCCCATCTTGTGCTTGTTTCCGTTCTGACAGAAACTGTTCCCCTGCCTCCCGGTTTTGACTTGTTCCACTCTGCCCTGGAGGTGCTCCTGTCCTTCCCTGGTGCGTGGTCCCCAAGCTGCTCCTTGTGGGATGCGCTGCCTGCCCAGAGCATCCCTCTGAAACCACCGCAAGCTGCCCAGGGCCCTTTCCCTGCTGTTCCTCCGGCGTGTGCTCCCACAACGCGACATCGCCTGGGACAGCTACCCCTGTCCTCAGATGAGTGAAGCTCTCAGCTGGCCAGCTTTGTTCTTTTTTTCCAGTTGTGATGTGGAAACACGCTTCCCTGTGTGAGGCAAAGGCAAGTCGCCTTTTGCTGCAGGGGAAAGTCCATATCTGAAAACGGAAAGCGCAACTTGACCTCAGAAGAGGATGTATAGATGAAGGGACCAAATAAATAACAGCACATCCTTTCTGTATTTACAAATTAAATAGAATAAATAATGTCTGTATGCAATAGTGGCAGAACACGGACCATAGTGTGGGCAGGGCTGCCCTGGCTCCTGCTGAGCTCCTATGGCAGGTGCTGGACGCGTCCTGCACCCCGCCGGAGGTAGCCAGCGCCCCGGGTCTCCGCCAGAGGGGCTGAATAGGGTCTCTGTAGGGTCAGGAAGGTCCCTCGCTCCCTCCAAGCGAGGCCAGCCAGGGTGGGAGGTCCACGCTCCCAGCAGCAGGATGGCTGACGTCAGGCTGCTCTCGCTTTCGGTGTCGGTGTTGTGAAAGGCTTGGACAGCACTGGCAGCACATACGTCAGCTGGAGGAGCCCAGCGCTCGCTGGGGAAGGGGGAAGTGGGGAGGGGAAGCGCAGGGCTGGCCCCAGCCCCTGGGGTGGCCCTGAGCCCCGGGGCTGCGTGCCCTGCGCTGGGCTGCTGGAGAGCGCAGACAAGGCAGCATCGTCCTTCGGAAACATCCTGGTGTGTCTCCTTGGGCTTGGTGGTCAGAGAAGGGGGACGAGACCCTCCGGCACAGCCCGTCCCCGTGTCTTGTTAGCTTTACAGACGAGACCTCCTGGACGGAAGGGACGGGGCGCGCTGGGGGCCGGCCACAGCGGTACCAGGGCCAAAGCAGCCCCAGAGGTAGCTAGGCTGGTGCTTGCCGGGCGAGTCTCGGCCAGGGCACCGCTCAAGCTGATGCATTCAGGGGTCGGCAGTAGCTTATAGGAGTAGCTGTTCCCTTTGGGCAGTGGCTAGAAGAGGTAGTTGGGTGAGCGTGGGGGGCTGGCGGGCACCCGCTCCCCAGCACGGGCACGGCTCACAGCCGGCTGTCCTTGCTGTCCCCGTTGAGCAGGCTCAGGGGGTTGATTTGCAACCCGAGCCACTCGTTGGTGCTGAGGCTGGAGATGATGGGCAGCGTCCCCAGGAGGTCAGTGTTGAAGATGCTCAAGTCGAAGGGAGCTTTCAGGAGCTCAGGGCTGGCTTTAGAGGCCAAGGGAGCACCCGGAGCCCCATAGCTCAGCAGAGTGGGGGCTCGGGGCCCCACCTGGCTGGAAAAGTCGCAGGCGGTGGGCTGCCGAGGGTCTCCCCACGGAGCAAGGTCCTGTGTGCGGCTGCAGGGATGCTCGGGAGAGGACTGCTTCAAGTACCCTTTGGCCACAGCCAGCTCGGAGCACTCTACATCCAGCACGGTGTCGGTGCTGCCTGGGCCCTGCGGGGATCCTGCGCAGCCCGAGAAGAGCATCCCTTTGGCTGGGTCCTGCCTTGGCTCCACTGTGCCCTTGGACTGCTGCAGGTACCCGCGGAACTCCACGTCTTGCTGGCTGTCCTGGCCGGCGGTGGGGGGGAGGCTGAGCTCCCCTCCGTGGGGCTGCGTCGTCTCGGCCGGACTGGCGTTCCCGCTGTCGCAGGAACATGTGGGGCGAGGGCTCTCCAAGCCTATGCCGCTGTCGTCACCAGTGGGCAACTGCCGCTTGTAGCCCTGGGGCTCGTGGCCTGAGGAGCAGCTCAGTTCGGAGGAGGAGGAGGTGCGCAGGCAAATGCCGCTGTCGGTGCTGGTGCAGCTGCTGTCTCCACTCCCCATGGTCCCCGGCCCCAGCAGGCACTCCCGGTCCTCGGGCCGTGCTGGGAGCCTCCAGCCCTTCTCTGGGGACAGCTGGGCTGCGCCGGTGCTGTCGTTGTGGCCGCTGTCCTGCTGGGGCTCCTTCTGGCACAGGAACAACTGCTGCACAGGGTCTGCGTCCGGGCTGCCGGAGGACGAGGACTCCTGCTCCACCCAGAGCGAGCTCTGCTTTATGAAAGACTTCTGGGAGGGAGAGGAAAGAGGAGAGTGAGCTGTGCTTCGTCCCTGCCTCTCCCAACAGCTGCCCGAGTCTGCGACCTCGTGCTGGCCGCAAAGGGTGCCGTGTGCCCGGCTGCCTTACCAGGACAGATGGCGGCCTCACGGGTTTCTTTATGTAGGTGCACACCAGCAGAGCTCCCAGGAGACCCAGGAGCAATACGGTGATGGAGGAGGAGCTGACGATGCTCGGGACAAGCTCTGCACTCCCTGCAGGAGAGGACATGCGTGGGTGAGGGAGGAAAGGCAGAGCCCTCGGTGCACATAGCATGAAGGCGCTGCTGCGGGGGCACGGAGCGTCTGTCCTGCTGTGGACCGCGTGCCCCCAGGGCCAGGAGGCTGAGGAGGATCCGTGTCCCGCAAGGTCCCCCCCTTCCCTGGCTCTCCTGCCACTTACTGTCTGTCTCACCGATGGTGACGCACTGCTCATTGGTGCGCGTGGCGCGGATTTGCCGGCTGGCCACGTCGGGCTCCACGCTGATGCAGTACTCCGTGTCCCAGAAGAGGTTGCTGATGTTGAACTCTGGGGTGGTCTTCACCTCTTCGTACTGCAACGACCAGAGCATGGGCTGGTACCTGAGAGCCCCCAGCCTCGTGCTCTCCTCCCGCCTCCTCCACTGTCCCCTGGGGGAAGTCCCCGGCTGCTCAGCAATACAGCTGACAGCAGCTAGACCCGCAGTCCCAGCAAGGGTTGGGGAACCTACTGCAATAAAACATACGGAGAAATCTCTCCGTGATGTTATTAAGTTTTACAGAAGACTGTACTTAAAAAATGTGTTTTTCAACTCGAGCCGTGCTGCTTGCGACAGATGGGGACAGCACGGGACCAGCAACTCATCTCACCGTGCGATTGTCCTGCGCCCTCCTGACGAACACCCGGTACCGCCTTGCGTGCTTCTGTATGTCATCGTATCTCACGGTGAGGTTCCCCTCCCTGAGGAGCAGCTGCAGCTGCACGTGGATGGTGTTGCCCATCACGGAGAGGCTCTGGCCTGACAGGCGCAGGCTGGCTGGAAACAAGCCCATTGGAAGAGCGCGTTAGGGTTTTCTGCTGTTTGCAGCAGTAAGAGCCTTTGCAGCAGCGGACTGAGCTGTGGCTGTCCCTCGCAGCCCGAGCTGCCTGTCCTAGGTTTGTCCCGTCCCATCCCGCAGCCTGGCTGCCCTCCAGGAAGGTATGAAGAGACATCCCTGCTCTCGTCTGTCCCAAAGTTCTCCCCCAGCAGTTTGGCAGCCTGACCTCTGCCATCCTCGAAGCCTCCTGCCCCCGCCGTGCAGTGGAGGCACACACCAGACCTACCTTCTTGTGGGGAGAAAGAGTTGGTCCTCTGCCACAGGGACGTGTGGTTTCCGGACACAGCCCTGACCCGTGCGTAGTAGCGCAGGGCAGGATCCAGGGTGTAGTATGTGAGGTCGCAGGAGCAGTTCAAGAGCTTCATGCAGTTTGGAATGGCTGTCCAGGACAAATTTGTGCCGTAGCTGCAGGGAGAAGCGCCGGAGGTGAGAGCGGTGCTGAGTGGTGCCAGAGCCTCGGCTGCCACCGCTGTCGGTGACCCTGGGCAGGGACCAACCCCCTTGTGCCCCCATCACTGTACTCACACTTTGTGCTCCACTTCGTAGTGGACGTCGCTGGGGGCGTTGTGTACCGGCTCCCACTGCAGCAGGTGATGCACCATCTCCGCAGTGAAGCGCACGCACGTGGGGCTGGCCAGCCTCTCACCTGCGGGACAGAGGGCAAGCGCTAGGC